AAAGATGATTTTTTGAAGTTTTATTCGCTAGTGTGAGATTTTTTGAGCACCTAGAATTGAGATTTAGATGTGTCGTCCCCCTCGACAGCTGCAGTGTTTTTTATCTATTGTGAATTAATATTGAAAACTATTGTCATTAAATGAAATGAAATATTGCTGGGATGAGTTTTAATTCATTATCAAATGTAAGATACACGAACAAGATATGTTCAATAATATACTTGTGAATCAAGGAAACTTGATGATTGAGTGTCAAACTTTCGATGACAAAATGTAAGACACATGAAATCCAAGTGTATCACAATTGAACTTATAGTGTTCGAGAATAATATCTATTATATGATTCACACATGAAATGCATGTTTTTCACAATTTGCGCAAATTGAAGTGTGGAACACATGAAGGTAACGTGTGGATTTTTTTAAGTGTATAGGTTCTGAAATTCGACAGTGAGCGTTCAAAAAAGCCTACACGCTAACTTGAAAGTACCCATAAATGGTTGAAAAAGACCCATTTTGAAGAAAAGTGGCTTAATTCATTAAATGAGTAAATTTTTTACCCATTAATGAGTATCTGTTACCCATTAATGAGTAATTGTTAATCATTAATGGGTAACAGATACTCATTAATGGGTAAAATTGTTTAATCATTAATGAGTTAAGCCACTTTTCTTCAAAATGGGTCTTTTTTTACTCATTAATGAGTACTTTCAAGTTAGAGTGTACTTGTAATGTTCGATTCTCTTCATCGATTTTCTGTTTACAGCTAAGCGAAACAAAACAAGCTGAACATTTCATTAGGTCCTAAGCAACACTGACAAGATTCTCTTCGTCGACTTGCTCCTTGAATCCACTCGGCCCAGGCATTTTCAGCACACATATCGATAAAATAAGTTTTTATCTAGCATCTAAATAATACGACAAACACAACAAGAATCGATCCTGTGCTCAAGTTGTATGTTTACTTAAATTTGACAGATGGAACATCTTCAAATAAACCTGCTATTCCAGCAGACTTATTTCTGACAGACAAGGAATCAATTTGACAGACGCTTTCTCGAAAATCGACCGATCTACAACATAGGGGTTTTCGAACATCTTAATTTATTTTCGAAGTGTCAAATCTAAATGAAAATTTTCCAAATGGAACACAGCATTAGTATTTTTTTTATTTGTTCAATCGGTAGATAAAAGATGTACCGAGAATTTATTGGAGGGATTCATGGCTAATTGATATCATCTCGATCAACTATGAAATGTTGCATAACATTGATGCAAAATTGTGCACTCCGTTTTTGCGTGTGCATTTATTTTTAGCGTTTTGAAGTTGAATGGTTGAATCGCTGAGGATCAATAGAAAAATTTCAAGAGTACAGATATCAGCTCTCACAAAACTTATAACAAAGAAACTGGAACTTCACGTTTGTTGTACACAAGGAGTTTCAATTTCATGAGTGATGTCACAACCGTCCAAGATTTATATTCTAGAAATCTAGAAGTGATAGGGAATATCAGCCATCATGACGGTCATTGTTGGACGCTTCAATGAATCATCTGAAGAAAGCCTTAGTCATATCTGATTGTTATTTAGGAACCAAATGAAATAGAATATGTATTCGCATTTTTATGAGGTCCTGAATTTAACCAAATTTTACCAACAATCAATACGAAACTAACGATTTTAAATTGGCTCACCACTTTAGTAGCCTATTGGTCCCAAGCAAACGATTAACGTACCCTATTCTAGTTGAAATTCTATTACTACACTATGTTTGTTTTGATTCGCTATGAAAGTTGGACAGATAAAATGAGGGGTTATTGGTTTTTCCTATGTTTCAAGGGGTGAATCAATTAGCTTGGGACCGAAGAGAGTACCAGAGCCGAGGGGGGCGACACATCTAAATCTCAATATTAGATGATCAAAAAATCTCACACTAGCGAATCATTCTTCGAAAAATCTTCTTGCATTTCTCGCATCTTCTTGCATCGCGCATCATCTTTTTGCAGGAAATCTTCAGAATCGTCATCAATCGTCTTTCTATCTACTCAGCGTGTGAGCAGCTAGCCATAGCAAAACACAATCTTTCCTGCAGCGTAGATAGAGTCGTCCCCCTCGACCAGAGCTGAGCCAAAAAGTTGAGCACGTTATTTCGGGACCTTCTAGTCTTAGACTTACCTCTATGGTTTTACTAAGTAGGAAATATTGGTCAAACTGCGTATGCTTCAGTAGTCCTCGGGACGCTCAATTTGTCATGCCAGGCTACGACACGATTTCAATCAATGCTCCGGTGGTCTTCCAGACGCACCTTGCGGCGTTCTAAGCCACAAACCAGAAATTTGTACAATTAATACGAAACGCTTTCAACCAAAGCTCCGGAGATTTTCCATACACACCACCTTGTGGCGTTCCTTACCACATACCAAAATTTCGCATTAGGTCAGAAATTTTATTGTTTTTGCTATGGTCATTCATGCCGTTTTGTCGGTGAGGAAATATTCATTTCATTAAAGACGATCATTTCAAAACTAGCTAAATGCGCGTCAATCAAGTATTGCACTGCTGCTTGATTGAAAGTTTCAGTACATTATCAATGGTGTATATTTGCATCGATAATGTATTGGAGCGTTGCTTATCATGTGTGAAAATAGCTTCGGAAAGAGGGGGGTGACACATCTAAATCTCAAGTCTAGATGCTCAACAAATCTCACACTAGCGAATCAATCTTCGAACAATCTTCTTTCATTTCTCGCATCTACTTGCATCGCGCATCATCTTTTTGCAGGAAATCTTCAAAATCGTCATCAATCTTCTTTCTATCTACTCAGCGTGCGCGCAGCTAGCCACAGCAAAACACAATCTTTTTTGCATCGTAGATAGAGTCGTCCCCCTCGCTTCGGAATGCCTTTTTGAAATGGGCTATTGTAGCTGCGGTAGAGCTGTCACCTTCTAACTCCCGGGTTCAAGCTTCTTGCATTCATAAGAAATGATTGCAGGCAAATTTTATCCATAATGCTATTGCCAGACAGTGGATGTTAGTCCAAGGGCGAATCTTCATTCTAATCCACGATTCCACATACTATTAATAACCTTTTACACATGAGAACCTCCTATCGATCAGAATGAGTTGTGCATATGTTTAGGATCAACAAACATTTTCAGGCGCAAAGGAGCAACAGGATCGAGCTGATAACGCTTCTTAATTCCAAAATCTGAAGACTGTTTTGAATAATATGTTTAGGTAATGGGCAGCAACAATGGACAGATAAACTACTTACAGCTTCTATTTATTAAATGCTTGATATAACCATAGAGGTAACTCTAAGACCAGAAGGTCCCGAAGATACGTGCTCAACTTTTTGGCTCAGCTCTGGTACTCTCTTCGGTCCCAAGCTTATCGATTCACCCCTCGAAACATAATAAAATCCATGATCCCCTCATTTTATCTGTCAAACTTTCATAGCAAATCAAAACAAACATAGTGTAGTACTAGAATTTTGACTAAAATGGGATACGTTAATCGTTTGCTTGGGACCAATAGGCTAGTCAAGCAGTGAGCCAATTTAAAATCGTTAGTTTCGAATTGATTGTTGATATAACGATTGCCAGCAACGCCGGCTGGGCATATCCTATGGCTTACCCACCCTACTAACAAAAATCCACCATTCCCGTGAGGCTTATGGAGGGTCGTAGAGTTCTCTGCATCTCTCTTAAGTAAGTGTCGGACTAACATTCCTCTCCTTTCCCCACCAGATGCAAGGACGTGGCCAGGACAGCTCTGGTCTGTTGGAGGGAGAAACAATCTTTATCTAAGAGGTAGTAATTAATCACAAATTACTATCTGACAGCAACGGATGGATCTCCTTCTTAACAACAGTTTGGAGCTCGTTCCACCTACGACATTGTGCAACCTGGTTTATGCTATGCCATGAAAATGTGAATCCGGTTATAATAGTCCCAGGAATGACGTTAAAGTATATACATGACATTTTCCAGTATGCAATCTATGAATTACTCCGTTACAAATGCAATGCAACTCACGTATGCTACGGGTGGTCATGAAATAGTTACCACAGTATTCTTCGATACAATCGATGTAAATATTTACATTATTTGACAAATCTCAGGTAATCATGACAGCAGTTGGTCTCTTTTCTTCATTCATATTGTTTTCAATAATCAAACGTCATTACCTGGGTTTTGTCAAAAAAGCTAAATTTTTACGTTGTTTGTACCAAAGAATGGAATACAGCTGTTTAATAGTACACGAGAAAGACACTTGACACCGGTAGGTGAATTAATCAGGGTTTTTATGGTTCACTTCTTATAGTTGTTTTCATCCGTGAAGCGCGAAGAAGCATTCAATACTCACACTGGAATAGCTGTTCTAAGGCGGACCATGCGCCTCCACCAAACAGTGCATAATTATGTCGTCCCGGTATGAATGAAAGACACACAGCCGCAAATCACCCACCCATCTACCACTGCCTACTGAGCCCACCCCTTGACATCCTCACCAAGTACAGGAACCCCTCGTATAGCGCGGTGTGTGATGTCGTCCACCCACCGCAATTTCTCAGCTGTCTGCTGATTTTTTGTACGTCATTAGGGTCAACCATAAACTTGTCACCTGCAGAAAATAAACTCAATTGGACAGCCGGAAGGCCACGCTAATCGCAGGATTCCTGTACCTACCAACCATGTAGGCTGGTAGGTGAGCAACCAACCTAAACAATGTAAAGCAGCCCCCTTGAAGCTGCGGAGCGGACGAAAACAACAACGCTCCGACATTCCAGAATCCTTCCATCCACATGCTGGGTAAAGGTACGCAAGCGCGCCGGAACAGCGGGTTTCCCCTCACTCTCTTTCGAGTCTCGGCCGCCACCAACACTAGCACCGGGATCTCAAGCTGCGAAGCGGGGGCCATCTGTTCTTTTCACTAGAACAAAACGCTGATGCTGATGGATTTGCTTCCAGTAACAGGAGAGACCCCATTCGCGATACAAGTGCCAGGAAAAGCCACTAGACTATTCTAGTTCTCGGTCGTCGGTCAGCCAGCCGCATTTGGCCAATTCTTTCTCGGTCAAGAGCATGGCGGCCAGCTGCTGATTTGTTCCTTAGATTCCTTACCGTAGTTCTAAATTGATGAACCGAGTTGTGTAACTGTCAAGTGCGGGGAATTTGAAGTGCCATTCGATTCAACAACAGTGGAATGTAGTGGATTTGCAACTTGTGTGATGGTGCTTGAAAATCGAGTCAATTCCGGAAATATTTAGTACGTATATTTGTGACAGAAGTGCACCGTTCCGGACGGAGCAGCAATCGGAGTCCTTGATTTCGAGCGAGAAGAATCCGAAGTGACAAGTGAAAGCTGTTTTCCCTCCCGATTTGGAGGGTGCTTCTGCTTCAAGTCGTCTATAATAAGACATGCGATAGAATATCGGGAATATGCGGTGACATAATCCTATTGTCATTGGTGAGATTGAATGTGGGGGATGGCGAGCGTCCCTTTTTATTTTTCTTCATATAGCAAACTTTCTCACAATGGAAAAACAGCGATGGGAAAACGGGAACAATGTGAAGAAGAAATAAGGAAAAAGTGCTGCGACCGTCAAGCCTGACATGATTAAATTGTCGATCGATTTTCGTGTGCTGTTGTTGCTCTGTGTGTGTTGGGGGGAGCAGGGGAGGAGGCCTTCACCCCACTGTTGGAGTTGATGTACCGACGGAAGGGGCATACCTCTATTTATATTTGCATTGCAGTCGTCAAATCGCGTTCCGAGGTGGATGGGTGGATGGATCCTACCTGACTCGGCATCGTAGACAAGTGTTGAGTGAGAGATGGTTTTTATCCCCATCATCATCTCTAGGAAATAGCTTTCGTAATATTGGGGTCGAAGGGGGTTGTGCTGACAGGATGCTGGTTTGTTGTGGTGATCAGGGTTGATTTGTGTTTGATTGGTTTTGCGGTGGAATAGCGTTTGCGGTTGATTTTTTTTTTTTGGTGGATTGCGAATAAATTGGATTCTTTTGAAGTGCTTTTCATGCTATTTTGAGTTTTTCGGGGAATGGAAGCAGTGATGGCAGATAGGTTGACGGAATGATATGTATCCAGCTATGATCCAGCTTTTTACGCTAGCGTGCCATACCATTTGAATCATCCCTATTTGACATTAGAAGATTACGATTATAGCAGCATCATAGCAATCGAAGGCTTGGAAAATGTTATTGACAGTATTGATAAAAAGAGAAAAACAATGGCTCTTTGTTACAATGCAGGGGGAATGACACATCATTCATCCTCATCCCACATCCATTTTATCCTCAAATCCACATCCACATCAATGACATTTTTTTTTAGAAATTTTATTTCTATTCCAGGTATCTCTTTTTTATTTATCCTTATAGGCCCAAACGCAATGTGGACGGAAGCGGAACGGAAACGGAAAGTTTGACAGTTGTCACAAATGACATCAAGAAGCCTAACCGATGTCGATTTGGTTCTAACTAGTTTTCAATCCGACAAGCAGGCTTACTCAGATCGGGCTTTTCCGCTGCCGCTGCCGTTCCGCTTCCGCTGTCATTGCGCTTGGGCCTTATGTCTTTTCCGATCTATTACTTTCATCCCGCTCGCATGCCGCAGCAGCACTGCCAAGTCTTTTTTGAAATAAAATGCATCCGAATGAGTGTCTATCCCCCTGGTTAAATGGATGGTGAGGGGTGATAGTGGGACTGAGCCGGGACGGGACTTGACAATCCAGCTTCTCACTCTTCTTAATATTTTTGATGAATGCCCGTCGAAAATTAGTTCATGGTGTTTGACGGAGTTGACCAATGATGCCAGGATTGCAAAATGATTTTTATATTTTAATTTGAATTTGATTCGGAGTTTCTACCGAGGGGGACGACTCTATCTACGATGCAGAAAATATTGTGTTTTGCTTGGCTAGCTGCACGCACGCTGAGTAGATAGAAGGAAGATTTATGTCGATTTTGAAGATTTCCTGCGAAAAGATGAAGTACGATGCAAGTAGATGCGAGAAATGAAAGATGATTTTTCGAAGATTGATTTGCTAGTGTGAGTTTTTTTGAGCATCTAGAATTGAGATTTAAATGTGTCGCCCCCCTCGGTTTCTACCGCAGTTTAGCACCTTGTACATCATTTTTGCTTTACACAATAAAAACAACCATAAACAATCAAGGATAACCAAAGTGCTCAAACGGTTCCAAATTGGGCCCTGATTAGCCTCCCAAAGTTTGAACTCATTTAGTGAGAAACTGACTTGGCACAAACGATTTGAAGTTTATATGAGAATTACTATAGAGAAACCATAATTTCGGTAAATATCGATCTCAAAATTTACCAGTTCACTCTGCTTTAGAAAATGATAGCTGAGCTTGTTGAAAATTTTCTCAGCTACAACTTTGTTGAAGATCTCTTTTAGATCAAATGTAAGGAACAAAAATTGATTCAAGTTACTGATGTCTTATGATTATGCTCAATCAACTGTTCAGCAGGCAACATTGGTGTTTATGGCGCGTAGAATAGAGGACAAAAATCATGGCTACTATGTCACACTGCAGAATACAGTGTTGCGCACAATACAGTTGCTTAATCTTGCCACAAGATTATCAATCTCAATTAAACAATTAATAACTATTTAATTTGACGTTTGGCTGAAAAATGATTTTCTGCAAAGTTGTAGCTAATAAAAATTCCCATAAGAATAGCAATATAATGTGTTAACAGTACAATATGTAAAAAAGCTAGAAGACAATGAACATACAGTTTTGTTTTCTCATGGTATTTTCAATATAAACTTCAAATGGTTTGTGCCAAGTCAGTTTCTTATCAAATGAGTTTAAACTTTCGGGGGCTAATCAGGAGCCGATTTGAAACCGTTTGAACACTGTGGAGCAAAAATTTAAATACATTGCATCAGTCTAATATCCATCTCTTAAAGCACGCCGTGGACCCTATTTTCCAACTTTCCTTTCGCAAATATAAACAATTAACAACGCCATTGACGTCAACATTGATTCCGGCATCACTGCCAGCCAGATTGATGTGATCCCTCTGTCCTTTTTATTCCACGATTACTATTGTCAAATCGATCAATCAGCAACTGGCTCGCTACCCGATTGTCAAGTCCCGTCCCAGGGACTGAGATGTTTGGTGATGAAACGGTATCCAGCTTTCCATGCTCGGTAATGACTAGAAATACTCAGAGGGAGAGATAGGCGGAGAAAACAAAATACAATTCGGCAGCAGGGATTTGTTCCTAAATTATCTTGCAACCCTTGCTAGAAGCTAGTATTCCAAATGACTTTTATTTTTGATTCGATTTACGTGCAAAATAATAATTGATCGCATCGTAATATTTTGCACATTTCTAGTTGCCATTCATTAACCAACGAAGATCAATTGATCAATAGAGTTAGAATATTGTTTTTGGTTCCAAAAACTAGTTGAATTTGAGAAGCACACAAAACATAAAAGTGATTGAATTTCTGTTCGGTTGCAATACTATTAAATTTATTCTAGTAGAAATCCTCGGAAAATTCTAATTGGAATATTCGATTGGCTCAGATTTTGACAGTTCATTTGGCTCAAAACATTCCCTCCGCCCATCTCTCCCTCTGAGTCGAGGGGGGCGACACATCTAAATATCAATTTAAGATGCTCAAAACATCTCACTAACGAATCAATCTTCGAAAAATCTTCTTGCATTTCTCGCATCTACTTGCATCGAGCATCATCTTTTTGCAGGAAATCTTCAGAATCGTCATCAATCTTCTTTCTATCTACTCAGCGTGCGAGCAGCTAGCCACAGCACAACACAATCTTTCCTGCAGCGTAGATAGAGTCGTCCCCCTCGCTCTGAGTATTTCTAGTAATGACGGCCTGTTTGTATGAATAAATGTATCCTTAACTGTGATTTTTGACACTTCCTGGATGTTCGGATTTTGACCCCTCCCTTTCCCTCTCCCAGGAACAGAAGAAAATGGAACAACATACGCCTTCCAGTTAGTGTCAAAAAGCACAGTGAAGGATACATTTATTCATACCAACAGGCCACCAATACCGAGCATGGAAAGCTGAATAGATAAACAACAGAGATGGTCATTCCCAATCGACCGTATGGTTTGATAAGTCGTAAGGACTTCGGTTGACTGACCGGAGTCAAGGTAAATGTTGAAATCATACCTAGTCAGCTGGTGGACACATGTAATGGGGATGCAATTCGAAATTAAATTGTCCTAAACATCTTTAAACATCCTTGAACATTTCTGGACTTTCCTTAAATTTCCGGAAATTTAAATTTACCCAACTGCCTGAAGTTATTGGCATTACCCTTAAGGTCTATGAGCTTTCCCGACGATCTCTAGACCTAACTTTTCCGAGGTTTTTGGGAATTAATTAAAGTTTCCACAATTTTCCTCAAGTTCTCTGAACTACTTTGAAGTTTTCTTAACTTTCCAGATGTTCTTTAAAACTTGTTGAAAGCTCCTGCAATTTTCCTCGGGCTGATGAAACGGCCTTGGAGTGCTCAAAGCTTCCCTGAAGTTCCCAAAGAAACTTGGGTGCTAAACCATGATCTTCTGCTCAGTACGCAAAAACGGTTGCTCTAAAGCCACCGTGCTATTTACATCACCACAAGCTACGATGGATATTTCTAGCCCGAGAAAGCAGTTAACAGTATTTTTCAAACCGCTTAACACTTAACACGCTTACACACTTAATCTAGCTCGATAAAATCTCCAACAGCCGATTACTTCGGCAGTAAATTTTGCTGATATCTCTGCAAAATATCTGTTTGTTAGCTGATATCTCAGCAAAATGTTATTTGTTAGCTGAGTCTCGGCAATTGTTTTACTGAATCTCAGCAAAATAAATTGCAGAACTACTCGGCTGTTGGAATCTCGGCGAAAAAATTTAAGTGTGTACGTCAAATTGTAATATACCTATAATTTTTTTCCATACCGTTACGTACGAGTTCTATCTGTTACGATTAGATTATATCTTAATATCTTTTCCCAGCAAGACTCAAGCATGTGTTTGAAAATCCTACCCTACCTAAGTATATGGCAAACACTGATTAAACTGAAACGAACTCACCAATTTAGTTGATTTAGTTGCTCAAGGGGTGGTCACTCTACACACTTATTTTGCGCCAACTTTTGTCTCAGTGTGCCGGCAGTGCCAAGAGTGTCATCAGACTGAATGTTTGAATAATCATATGTTTGGCAACCCGGTAATTTTGACAGTTCACA